CTGAAAAGAAATCAGAAAACTTGTTACAGGCAGCATTAGATTGGAGTTCAGGTGGTAACGTCATAGGAGGGTTTGTGAGCCTGTCAACTGTTGCAAATAAAGTTCGAGCATTATTGATGTTTTTGTTTATGACATCTGCAAAGAAAGCCTCCCTTCCATGTTTTAGTGTTAAGTGATAGTTACGTAGTTTTTCTTTGTAGATGTCGTGATGAACGTGAAGTTGAGTTTTACGCCATTGTCGTTCTGCTCTGCGGCAGACTTGTCTTGCAGACCGAACTATTTGTGCATTTCTCCATGGAGATTTCTTCCTACCAGACACAACTTTTACTTTAATTGGAGCAATGGAATCAATGATATATGAAACTTTAGACTGAAAATCATCTACCAACTTATCTACATCATTACAGCTTAAGGGTGAGGAGGAAGAATAGATTTGATTAAATGTTTCTGCTGTGTTTTCTGTGAAAGAACGTTTTGTGACAGTAGCTGTTTGTCCAAGTGGGTCAAAGAATAAAGAACCTTCAAAGATAACAGCGAAGTGATCCGACAGGGCGACATCAGTTACAGAGACATTGGAAATATTCACACCCTTACTGATAACCAGGTCCAGTGTGTGTCCTTGAGTGTGTGTTGCTTGTTTGACATGTTGTGTTAAACCAAAATTTTCTAAAATATCAGAGAGCTTTTTTGCTCCTCTGTTTTCGGGTTTGTCCACATGAATGTTAAAATCACCAACAATTATTAAACAATCATAATCAATGCATATGAGAGAAAGAAGATCATTCAAGTCAGTAAAGAAATTTTCCACATATGCTGGAGTTTTGTATAAAGTTAGTGTCAAAGTTCGTTTGAAGCCTTTAACCTGAATTCCAAGATACTCAAAAGATGTGAAATGACCGAAAGAGATTTTACTACAGTTTATGGTATTTTTAAATATAGAAGCCACGCCTCCTCCTTTTTTATGTTTTCTATTCTCACTTAAAAAATTGTAGTCAGGAGGCGCTGATTCAATTAGTACAATTTGGTCATTATCGTCATTCAACCATGTTTCTGTCAGAAACATAACATCAACATTATACTCAGTGATGAAATTATTAATTAACAGAGCTTTAGCACAGAGTGATCTGATATTTAAAAGAGCTACTTTAAGTGGCTTGGAGGCCAAAAGATTTTCAGTCTGAGGTTCCTTTAGGCAGGGGATCACTCTGAGGTTTGAATTAGGACCGCTGTATTTCATATTTCTGGTTTTTGTAAATTTTCTTGTAGTGATCCGGACAGGTAATGTCCTGTTCTGCAGAACCCGGGGGCCAGACACATTCTGGATGGAGACAGGTGTAAAGATAATATCTGGTCCCCAGCCTCAGACCTCAGAAACGCAGAGTGATGGATCCTCTGGGAAGTCAAGGGCAGGTTGCTTAAATGTAGTGAGGTCTGCTACGTGAGTGCTAAGGAGAGACGTGCCGAGGTGAACCAGTTGAACCTGTTGATACTAGCAGTCCTGTCATACGCCTTTCAAATAAAGGCCACTAGAGCCAACAAAACCATTGTGCAAAACACTTGCAAATGACAGGATTATAAGAGTAATATACGATTTACAGTAATGAGGTGCTTTGAAAGAAGCATTCATGCAGCTGTTATAATGACCATATTCTTATCTCAACTCTAGCATGTTGTAAACTAATCAGAAAACATTACAGCTCAAATTAAAACAAGAACATATTAACAGCTCAGAGCCTTGTCTCTGCCTTCATTTGTATGAGCCTCATCATTTTTGAAAGTTTCCTTTGTCACTGCAATGTAGTGCTTTTGCTTGTTTCTTTTGTGTTTTCCTTTCCAGCAATGCACTTTGAATTGTCCTGCAGCTGTAAGCGTGATATACTAAATTGCTTCTCTTTGCCTTAAAATGTAGCATTCATAAACACTTTGTAGATTTTGTACATTAGGAGAAATTTCTTTGAAAACTTGGAAAATTGTTAGCTAGTAGGCACTGATTAAGTACAATATTATTATTTTTACTATTTTCTACAATTAGTATGTAGTAGAATGGTTTCTTTAAGAGCCCAATGAGCTGCTGACGACATCATGTGATGAACCAGACCCTCCTCTTTTGCCAAACCACCCTCTTCAGTCAAGAAAGAGTACATCTACAAACATCGATTTTCTGCAGATTTTCATCTGGATTTAGTTTTGAACTTTGACTGGGCCATTCCAACACATGAAAATGCTTTGATCTTAATCATAGTTCTGCTGTATTCTTAGCATTAGTGTCTCAATGGAAGGCGATCCTCCAGTCATATCCTTGATTGCCTCTACCAGTTTTTCTTCTAGAATCTCCCAGTATTTAGTTCCATACTATACCAGTTAAACTTCATTTTATCATGAAGTTTAACTGGTGCTTGCTGAAGAAAACCATCCTCATAATAACCAGTTGCAGCCTAATGGCACAGTTCATCATCATTTGCATAATGGTGCATAACTGCATAAAATTCGAGATAGAAAAAGGTAAAAACACATGTAAATGAAAAGACTTGAAAAAAGATAGGAAACTTATATAAAAAAATGAACCAGACATAAACGCATTTGTGTGAAAGGAAAACCAAAAATTGTGATCCATTTACACATGAAATATTTAAGCATATTTCATGTGCTTGAATATATAATTTGTCAGAAATAAGCTAAGAAAATCTGGTAAATTAAATTATAAACATGATGGAAAGTTCTTTTTTAAAGTAAGTGGTGCATTTTAAATGTATTGATTTATTTGATCCATCTATTCATTATCAGTTTTATTTTTAATGATGTCATGTTTGTTCCCCCATAACTTAAAATGGTCTCAAGAAAAAATGCAAGCCACACTTTTCAGGAGTTTTTCTTTATTATTATTTTTATTAATAATATTATTATTGAGAAATGTGTACAGCGTTCCTTTCAATGACAAGTCATAACGAAAATATGACAAAAAATTTCAAGGCTGAAAGGATAGGAACCTTTATGTCATGTTCTGAGGAAGTCTTTCAACCCACATGCAGAAACAATCAGCGGACAAACAGAATAAAAAATACACTGAGACCGTGATGCCTGAAGAAGAGACTGGATTATTAACTGCAGATTTGATACTGATATTCTGTAAATGATGAAATAACCGTCTTGCAGCCAAGAGGAGGGATGTGGAAGTTAGGTGAGATTCCACCTGGTTCTGTTTGACCGACTGAGTTTTGGTTTGGTGGAATTAGGATCCAAAGATGGGTAATCCCAGCAAGTCTCACAGGAGACTGAATAGGAGGAGGCATTCAATGAGGGAACAGTCCAGTAGTTTCAGATACTTCTCGGGCAAGGTGACGTCAACCTGGAGCCACAGGTAGAATCACTTCCTGAAAACACTGAGCGGTACTCAAGGGAAACAGAACCATTCAACCTACAGACTAACAGTCTTGGTTAATCATCAGAACTCAAATTATTCTCCAACAGCTGCTCCAAACTGAGCAGCAAAGATCCTGATGTGAACAGGAGGTCTCACAGGCAAACTCACAAGGCGGAACCCAAGTAGCATAAAGTAAAGCTTTATGAGGGGATAAAGTGGTACTGTGATTGCAGCACACTAATCAGGACTTCTTTACAGACTTTATTTTTGCTGGTTCTCTTTGTTCGTTTTTCCTCCTCCATCCACAATAAATCACAGTTTAGCACTTTAGTTTTAGTTTTTCTGAGTTTGATTCTGGATGAAACCCACTATAATTGAACTTTTCCACGCTACTGATTTGAGCCCTCAATTCAACAGTTTTAACAGCTTGATGTGATGCAGTAGATTGGAGGAAGTATTACCCACCTGAACATATGACAGTAGAAGAGGTTGCACTCTCCACAGCAGATCTTGCTTCTAACACAAGTGGCTTCCTCAGGAAGTAAAGTCTGTTTAATATAACCTTTGGTGTTAGTTTTGTAAGGTCGCAAGAAAGTTCAATTCTGCTCACATTTGACCAGCACTCTTTGTTTCACATATTGGGGCTTTTATACCTTTCAGCACAACAATCAGGACTTTTTATAGATTTTCTTTTTGCTGGTTCTCTTTGGCAGATTTGGAGATTAGCCTGAATCTGACCAATTTCAGATGATGGATGTTCACACACAGAGTGAGGAGCTGCTTGAGACGATGCTTTACAATATATTCCTTAGATGTTTCACTTAGAAACTTCACTATTAACCTGCATTTTATTCATTAATGTTCCCTAACAAACACTTCCATTAGGTGTCTGGAGTAAGAGATTAAAAGTGTCTGATTAAAACACACTACATGCTACACCTTTACATTTTAATCAGTGAAAGTAGATTATTATTTCCTGAACAGTTACTTTGTATTGATTAATGACATAAAACCCAAGTGAAATACAACAAAGTTTGTGGTTGTAACGTGACAAAATTGTGGAGATGTTCAAGGGATGAAAGACTTGTGTGAGGCACCGCATGCATGAAAATTCTCTTTAAGTTCATAAGGTTACATCTTCAGTGCATTCGTGTATCTCTTTAATCTATAATTTAATTTTAAAGGGAGTAATCTGCAAATCTATACCTAATTCAAAGGTTGGTTGGATGCTGAAAGGTTCATCCCTGTGGGAGATCGGTTTATCTATCATTTTTAATTATTCACAGAAGTTGGAATTTAGTCAGGAGTGCCTGCCACTGTGAAACCAGTCATCTTAATCTTAACTTTGACCTCCCCCCCCCCCAACCCCCTTAAAAAAAAGGGTATCATGAGGCTCGTGAGTTTTTTAAGGGACTAAGTGTGGTAAGATATAATATAACCTGAACAAATCATTTGGAGATACGCTTAATGCATTATGCGTCAAGTGATGCCAGATGCAGAAAATCTCCTGCACGCTTAACCTCGCGATTCAAAGCGGGGAGTGTCTGTGATGACACTGCTGCTGGTTTTTGACGTAGGTGCCGCAAACCTGGCGAGTGGTCAGCAGTGTGCGCTGCGCTCCTGGCAGGCTTTATAAAAGCAGAGCGCACCGAGAGCGCACGGAGTCCAGCAGCCCAGCTCAGCTTCTATTCTTCTGCTGCTGCTCTTTACTCTGCTTTCTCCTCTTGTTTTCCAAAAAGAAACCTTTTTTTAATTCTTATTATTATTATTTAAATCAGAACCGACATGAATTCTCACTGCAACGGGAAAGTCGGAGAAACCGCAGTGGAGGAGTTCCACTGCAACAACGGCTTCGGCGACCTCATCATCGACACCAAGAAGTCCGCCGTTGTCCACCGCAAGCATGAGACGTCCCGCAAGGAGGCCGAGGACGAGTCCCGCTTACCCGCGCTGGAGGCCGCCTACACCAGCATCCTGCGGCACCTGGGAGAGGACACGGACCGGGACGGTCTGTTGCGCACGCCGCTGCGCGCCGCCAAGGCCATCCAGTTCCTCACCAAGGGCTACCATGAGACCATCGATGGTGAGTTTGACATCTGGGTCCTCGGACAGGACAGGGGTTGGGTTTGTGTCGTTGTTGTAAAGGCAACAGCAGCAAAAAAAAAAAAAGATTTTCTTGTCATTTGCAAGAAAATGAGTTCTGACTTTAAAAAAAAAGAAGTTAATTGGTCACAAGTAACTGCATAAAATTTGTCAAATATATTTTTGTTATGTTTGCTCAATTTGACTTAAAAATAAATTAACTTTTCTCTAAATAAACATTATTTGTTTCAATGTAAGAAAAAAAAAGGTCAACTGAAATCTAAACTTTTGTAAAATAATTTCAGTCGTGATTAAATTTTTTTGTGGTTTTTGCACTGCAGGTCATCCTGCTAATGTAGAACCTAACTGGTTAAACTAAATACCCATTGAACCATCAAAACTTTGACCACAAAATCTATGGGGTCAAGTTCACATGGCAGGTTCACTTTTTTTTTTAGCTTAGTTAAATGTAGTAAAGACACAGAAGAAGGAGATAAATAAATTCTAAAATTGGTTTGGATGATTTCATGTTACCATGATGTAATTGTCAGTTATGTGTGGCTTAATATATATTTATTTGATAAGATTTTAAACATTGTACTACAGCATACTTTGAAGTTGGTAGAGATGGAGATTAGGATTAGAGGGTTAACCCAAACATTTACAGGAAATTACAAGATTTCTAGGTCATTGCATTCCTGCCTTTATTTCATTTTGTCGCAATGAAATATTGTTTTTACTAGAAAATTCACCTTTGAGTTTCCAGAAAACATGTCTAATTGGTTTTCTCTTTTAAAGTGAAACAATGTGGTGGAAACAGTGTTGGAAAATCACAACATTCAGTTCTTGGGAGAAAAAAGAGCACTGATAACCTGGAAACAGGTGGAACCGCAGGTCCCAAAGCAATCTCCAATTAAGCAAAAAATGGTGCAGTTTAGACACCCATTCCTGGCCCAGCAACCAGCATATCAAATTGACTGGTGCATTTACTACATCAGCTATTCAGACTAAGCAACATCCACATTGTGCCTCCACACACAATACACAGTAATAGATTCATGTGGATAAGAGATGATGAGCTCTTGGAAAAAAATTTACCCTTTTTGCAGCACTTTGAAAATCAACAATACTTTACTGCCAGCCGTAGAAAACAGCTGATGTGATGCCTAACGTTGAAAGGGAGTCCCAGAGAGAGAGAGCCATATTAGCCAGATCAAAAACCTTTCACTGGTTACTAATGCAAGATTTCTGCATCTCTTATGAATAATCTATTTTATTACCCTGCAGACATCCTGAACAACGCCATATTTGATGAGGACCACGATGAGATGGTGATTGTGAAGGACATAGATGTGTTTTCCCTGTGCGAACATCATTTGGTACCATTTTTTGGAAAGGTAACGCCTTCATTTATGTTTGAAGCACCCATTGGCGACCTGGTAGGTCCTCTGGTGACCTCTGCTCCTCTGCTCTCCCTCCAGGTTCACATTGGCTACATCCCAAACAAAAAAGTGGTGGGGCTCAGCAAGCTGGCAAGGTAATACTGGGTGACTGCATTCTTCTGTTATCTTAGTGCTTTGAGTCTGAGCCCGCTGGCCATCAGATAGTCTCTTCCTCTAGCAGAATGACAGGCACAAGTCGAGATGCTTTCTCATGGCTTAGAGCCATGAGAAATATTCTTTCAGACCAGTCGGAATCGTAGTTATTATTCCAGCCTCTTTTGTTTCCTCCTTTCCTCTTGAAAATCAGAGAGGATCTGAACCGACAAACCTGGGATAACTGCAACAGAACTTGCCCTCGAGAACTCTGTATGGTGAATGATTCACAGATAAAGAAGCTGTACAGTTCGGAGACCCCACTGGCCAAAGGATCGATGCGAGTTTGTGTTTATCTGAAAGATTAATCATTATTACACCTGATCTATAAGCAGCCTTCTCTGTTTTTTTGTGTGTTTCTCCTTCTGTAGGATTGTGGAGATCTTCAGCCGCCGACTTCAGGGTAGGTAGAAAACCGTGAAACTGCAAAAACTTTAAATTCACTTCAAACAATGTTTGCAACATTTTCTCACAACAAAAAGGGTCCGCTGTTTAAATCTTGCAGGAGGTTTGTAGGTTTTCCCTGCGTGCTCCCTAGACGTACTTTAGGCAGCTAGCCCTTTAAGTTGAGCCTGTGTCCAGAGTGTACACCGCCTTGAGATAAAACCCACCCATAAGGATGCATTCACACCAGTCCTGCTTTGTCCACTTTAACCCATTTGTAAGCTGTTTGACAAGAAAGTCTGGTTTAATTGGGGAGGTGTGAATGTGCAATCGAACTCTGGTGTGCCTAAAATCCTCGGTCTCAGATCTGTTGAAGTAAACTCTGGATACATATATGGATGCAGCCAGACTGGAGATCACATCAAAAGTAGGAAGTGGACAATAGCACAGGGCATTCTGGGTACATACAACTAAAACAAACACTGCAATGAGAAATGGCTCACAGTCTTTGACCAAAGACAAAAGAGAAATTCTGCAACCGCTAAAATCTGACGCTACTCCATTTTGGTTTAAAATTTAAGAGTAAGTAAGTTGTGCTCAGTGTTTTCTCTAAGGCCTTTGTGTTGTTTTGATTAGTGGTTCTTGGTGCAGCGCCACCACAGGCGAGGAGGGGAACATGTTTCTCGACACTGCATTATGTCAAGAAACATGTTTCCCTCTTCGCCGCTGAAAATGTAACAAATGTTGCAATTTTGGTCCCCAACTGGATTATCAAAACACCCTAAGCAGAGTTTGAAAACTGATTAATAGATGTTTCCGATTGTAAAGCACAGTGGAGGTTTCATCTTAATTTAGTTTAGAAGAATTGTTTTTTGATTAATCTGTGATATCATAAAATACTCATCAAAAAATTAATGTTCTGGCTCATTTTGTTTCTTTTTTAGTTCAAGAGCGTCTGACGAAGCAGATCGCCATGGGCATATGTGATGCGCTGCAGCCAAAAGGTGTGGCTGTCGTCGTAGAAGCAGCGTAAGTTCACACACAAAGAGTTTCCCCCAAGAATAAAACAAATACGATTTTGTCAGGGGTAATAAAGCTGCCTGTGTAAATTCTTCCTGCTTTTATAAGTGGAACATTCTGTGACGTTCCCCTTTAACTGCACCGCCCTCAGGCTTTCTGCAGCTCTAAGTCCGAGCGTTCACTCTTTCTTTCTGTGTGCGTTTGTGTGGCCAGTCACATGTGCATGGTGATGCGCGGTGTCCAGAAGATGAACAGCCGCACGGTGACGAGCACCATGCTGGGAGTTTACCTCGAGGACCCCAAGACCCGAGAGGAGTTCCTGGCTCTGGCGATGCGCGCCTAACGGACCTCAATCCGCTCTTCATTCCCGAGCCGCCGCAGCGGATAGAAAGCCACGGATTCACTGTGGGTTCTGCTTGTGACACCTGATGGGGAAGAGACATGAAGTTGGTGCAATGACCTCCAGCCTGTTGAGTTAACCTCAAAACGCTGAAGCCTGAGAGATTTCCGTTGAAATCACTGTGAACCCAACAAGCAAATTCTAGGTGCCTTTATTACTCATTATACATTCTTGCACGGCAATATTGTTGTTATGAAATATGTAACCTGAGTGCAATACTGTAACATGGCAACTTAAGATATGTAACAGTTATTTGTCTTATTGTTTTTCTTTCCAATGGGAATTTCATTGGTGCTTTTCCAAAGTGTTATTTACGTAATCCAAACTTCTTTGTCATTTATATACATTTGTAAAACCTTTGAATTTTAGTGACATTTTGCGACATCAAACAAACATCTAAAGATGAAAGAGTCCAGCCAATCAATGTAAATCTGTGATCAAAGGTAATATTGTCTTCTGAAGTCTTAAATAAAGCTTTCTGAACATTAAGAACATTGTTGACTGTTTTTTTGTCCTATAATATTCTGTTTTATAAATGTCATGCTTTATTTATAAATTGGCTTTTTAAAAATAACACATGACTCACCAAAGTGTTCAATATCAGAAATATAAGATACATGAACAATAAATAATGTCAGTTATGTATTGAATTAAAATTATATTTTTCACCTGGATTTAAAGGGGTTTTATTATGTAACAAAGCATTTTTGAGCTCTATATTATGTTGTAATGTTACTCCCTCATCATAAAAATACCTAGCATGTTCCTTTGATTTTTTGTCTTGCATGTTTAAAGGGGCAGTATTATGTGTTTTCCAGGTACATAATGCCATTTTATTGCACAATCTATTTTTATAAAAAATAATGCACATATCAAACATGATTTAAAAGAAACTGGATTTCACAATTCTATGTGTTGAAATTAACCTGTCTCTTTAAAAAGCTCCTTTTATTCCTAAGAGGTGAAGATTCCACCTTCAGTAAGTCATCACAATGTTTCTCTGTACAGATTTTCACTGAGAAGTAGCTCATATTTCCATGAATGAAATCTACTGGATTATTCAAGTTCATCAAATAAGTAAAGCATTTTCCGCTACAGCAGTTAACTGTGGTTTCAGAGCCCTTCAAAAATGATTCATCCCAAAGGCAAATTAAATGTAACTTACATAATTTCGGCATCTTTGGAGAGTCTCCAGTAGCAGTCAGTCACACAATAAATCTGAACAGGCCTCTGGCTAAAGTCTTTTGTGAATAGCAATCGTCTGACTGTCAAAATATGCTGGAGATGATATTGTTGTACAGCAACATGTCTTAGAAGACACCGTCAGTTGTCGAAAAGTTCTGCTAATCCACCTCATTTGCTTTTGCCACCCCTCTTTAAATCCCAGTTTGTTGGAAAGTTAAAAAGGAAGAACAACAAAAATCTTCCAGCAGTACAGCATCCAAAACCATAACCAAAAAATGTCCAAACAGTCGATCACTCAAAATAAAAAAACAACTAAAGCCTACAAAAACTTCTAATCAAACTCAACATGCTGCCACCAAAACTTTACATCAACCAAATCTACTTTTGGGTGTTTACTAAAGGATCACTAGGTAGAAAATGTAAACAATACGACAACATGTCAGTGGAAACAAGAAAGATGTATTTGAAATCAAATTATATTTGTGGATGAACTTTACCCACCATTACGTTTTAGTTAGCCATTAATTAGGTTTTTACTGCAAATTAATCAGAGCTTACTTCGCAGTACATTATAGTCCCTGTCTGAACAGGAGATTTGATGCTGCTTTAGTCTTTTCAATAAAACACGACTGTGCTCACGTATCCACAGGCCTGAGGCAGAGCAAGCCCTTTAAATATCAAAGAGGGAGACCTGTGAACTACAACCTCCACTCAGGGATTGGGGAGGGTCATTGCTGACAGTAACACAGACAGTTTCTAAATGTGATTATATCAGGCTAAACCAATTATTGAAACACAAAGAGGAATAAAGTCCATGCTGTGCGTAAGAGGCTAAAATTATACCCAGTTATGGCTGCAGGTGTATAAATTGTTTTGACAAATATCAAACTGGCAGCTTTATTTCAGTCAAATTCAACACAGCAAATATTACATGCATAAATTTCAAAGAAGCAGATACACTTAGTTCTGGGACTAATGATAAAAACACCTCTGGAAGCGGTCACTTTACGGACAGACGATCTATTTGGAGGCGACGCTGTTTGCTTGAGAATGGAACAGATCCAGTGGTGTGATACAATAATCTAAAATAACAAAGACGCCTCTGGACATCCCTTTCACAGTCTATATTTTACACTCGTGACGATGCTCTCACACAGACTACATCACACAGATGTCTGCCTGTAGTTCTTGGTGTCCAGAACCTTCTTTCCACACATCGCACAGATTCCTGAAGAGACAAATGGACGAAAACAGGAAAAAAGAATCAGGAGGTACACTTACATTCATAGCTTTGGAATATTTAAACATATCATCACATCACAGCCACAAATTACAACATGTTTATTAGGATTTTATATGATAGATCAAAAGAAATGTTGATCTATCTGGAAGGGAAAATATTGTTTCAAGAGTAAAGCACATCTGCAAACTTACCTACTATTCACATTTAATCTGACAACTGTCACAAAAATTTGACTTTCAGTTGTAATTGGAGCAAAATGTAACTCTACAAGTATCAACTGAGGGGATCTTATTATATCCCTTTTCTTCCACTTAGCAATGATGCACTACTCTGTGTTGGCCTTGCAAAAACAAACCAAAGACTGGGGTTGACAAAATGGAAAGACGTAGAATATTTTTATAGCTTGCTGTATTTTCTGAACTTTATTGAGTTGTAAAGCCATGAATATTTTTGCAAATGTTTAATTTGACATAACTGAAGCCGTTAGAGTGCTTCTGCTAAACTTTAGGTCATTTTCATTGCTTGGTATCTTTTCTACAAAGCAGGTAGAGTGGAGATACTTGCTGAAGAAAAAGGTTCCAATTTAAGTCGGAGGCAAAAACATTTTAGCTTTTTCTGTAGAGAGAAGAAAAAGATGTGAAAAAATTTCTTGGAAAAACATGTTGCATCACAAATTAGGGACCAAAGTCATTGCCATGTTTTCATGAACCCTCTGAAACATGGCTTGTTAATGATATACTTAAACCTACTCTTTCTTTGTATACATTGTTTGCTACATGGAGAAACCGCAGCTTTATTTTGAGAAACAACTGTTTGCATTTCCTCACTCAGTTCAAATACTGTACGGAGATGGCAGCAGCAAACACACCTCACTCAAACAGACCAATCAGAGGAGCCCTGGATTCAGTCTGAGCACACTTTGTTTACTTACAATTTAGGACTCGACCCTTCAACAACATGGCCTACAGCTGTCGCAATCGTGGTGTTATAGCCACTCCTGAGTCAGACATGTCAGGAACATTACCTGAACAACCTGGTTGTAGTGTAATCTCAAAATGTAAGCCTCACTTTCTATTTTAAAGGAAAGAAATAAGTGAAAAAGAGTTATCTACTTTGAGTAAGATATAAAGTGCCCTCCGCACTATTCTTTGGAAAAATTTTATTAAACAAAGTCTCTAATCAGAGCAAAATAAAGTTGTGTGTAAATCTCTGCCCAAATTGGAACAAAACTTAGATTTACCTTCCTTTAAACCAAACAGAAAACTTACAAAAAGAGAAAATAATCTATCTATGGGCAACTATCTCATTCAAACAATACAAACAGCTAAACTCTAGAGTCACTATCGCTATTATTCTTCAGTCAGCTGAAACATGACCCACATTTGAATTAGGGCTTAATGAATTAAAAATGATACCTTACCTTTCTTGTAAGCGCAGCCCTGGCAGTAGTGAGACCCAGGTTGATGAACCGAGCTCTTGCAGATCCTGCAGACAGCAAAGCCCGTCTTGCTGTAAGGGTCAAACCTGAGAAAAACAATAACGCAGTCATAATTACAAATGCAGTTATGCTTGAAAGTTTAGGAGCTGTTCATTTTAATAGTTCTTTCATGAGAATACCAACCTTGCTTTTTTAGATGTCAGCATTTTGTTTTCATTCAACTTGCGCCCTCCACTTTCTAAGTAAAAATGTAAGCGAGAGAAACCCATTAATCACTAATGCATTGAGTGAGACAATATAAATGACAGCCCACCTGGATAAGTCAGAGTAAACAGAGCAGATTACTATCAAAAACTAACAGTTTAAACACAAAACTTACAACTACACTGCCTCATCTAACTTCCTCTCACCTTCACAATATGAAAAGCAGTCCATCAGCATGATGCTGTCACCACCATGCTTATTAACGAGAATCTACCTACTTTAAGTAATTAATATATACAGCTTTTACCACTGGCATTTGTTTAATGGGTGAGAAATCTATAGGGAATATAGTATGTAAGCTTACTCTATTTTGTTGAAACAAATCCTATAAATTAAGCATAGACTTCGTGGTCCCATATCAAACATGTATTTTGTTGTTTTGAATCCGTCACCTGTTGTATTCCGGGCTCCATCCTTCCAGGTGTCCGGAGTGATAACTCTGCCAAGCTTCTTCTCACCTGAAAAGAACGGAGTTTATATTTACAGCAAGGGAAAATTTGTACTACGAAGAGTAAAACCGACTGTTAACTTCGCGTAGCCTTCCGTCAGTTTTCGGGGAGGCTTCGTTGGCACAAACAACTTCCATTAGCTTCAAACTTACATCACAAAATTAAAGAGAGAAATGTCATACGTACACTTTTCACAAACCATTTTTCTCGATGTGCTTGTTTAGGGTGCAAAGAGAAAAACAACAACGTATAGCTTTAGCTTCCTTTGCTAGCGTAAACTTCCGGTCAAGTGTGAATTTTCAAATAAATTTCATTGGTTTATTATGGTGACGTCAGCCAAAGATCCAACTAGAATGTTGTTGATTGGTTAGATGAGGCACTTTACGTACGAAGAGGCACAAACTTGAGTTGGAGTCGTACGTCAATGCTGTCGCCATATTGTGAGTGGTATTGTAGAGAGGGAAATCCAACATAAAGCTGCGTTTGACAGTTTTGATTAAATATTTACCAGAGATTTGTTAATTGATATGCCCAGTAACCAGGATATTTAGAAATAATCTGTGTTTATATCTGTGTTCTGGTCTGGTGTAACATCATTTCTTGACTTCAAACCTTTGAGGAGCCGTTGTATATACTTTTATTTTGAAAGTCAAGCGGAAATCAACGTCTCTCCATGTTTACGGAAGCGCGGTGGAGATCCATACATTCATGGCTTCACCCCACTGTCCTCATCCGATGTTTTTCTCATTTTTAAAAGTTTTTTGAATTTGATTTAGTTTAATTGTGTCGCCCGTCGTCCGTAGTAAGCTGAAGCCGCCATCATGTGGGACCACGAAATCAGAGCCATGGCGTCCTGTCACGCCATCATCGCCGCCTCAGTGTTCATGGCCACCGTCCTCCCCGCGGTGCTCGT